GATCTTGTGCTTCTGAATAAAATTTTTTAAAAAATTAAAAAAAAAAAAAATATTCCCAGCACATTTCTCTCCCAGCCAGCGACGGCGTCTGCTCAGCCGTGCCGAGGAGCTACACCTTTCGGGTGACCACGTCTCCCGAAACACTCGGTTCGGCGGTGACATTTCCAATGGTGGTGAATCCCCCCAAAGCCAAGGGTACTTCTCACAGAGATTAATTGCCTTCACCCTCAAACCCAGCCCTCGCTCCTCTGCTCAGTTTGTTCAGCTTCAAGTGCCAATCAGTGGCTCTCGCTGTTTGGCTGTCTGCTGAGCTGAACAGTCTCAGATTTCTCTCCCCCACCCGGGTCCTACCACTTCTATGGTTTCTCCAAAAGGAAAAGGGAATGGGGAGCAAAGGGAGGAAACATCCTGGAGGAGGACACCAAGCCGGAACGAGAAGCCTGTGCTGCCTTCTCCAGCCCCATGCTCCTGGGTGGTGGATCCAAACCTCTGGGAAACCCATAAGTGTCTGAAAAACAATCCCTGTAAGAGGAGAACCAGGAGGGCTCCACAGCTAACAGCGGTGCCTGCAGCATTGCTCCCCTGAGAGCTGAACCCCAGCTTTCCCCGCTCCCATGGTGCGGCCACCCCATAGCTGGGGCAGGGGCTAGTGGGGTGCCCTGTCCTCTGCCCCCCCAATCCCACCAGCCTCGTGGATGGGTGCCACGGCCAGGGACCAGCGCAGAAGGTGCAGCGGTTGTTCACGCCATCACCTCTTGAGTGGTGCCGGCAGCCACCAGGCAAGCTGGGTGACACCCAGAGCCCCATCGGGTCCTGACCATGCACCGACATCTGACAGCTCCCACCTCGGCATTTGGCACAGGGTGACACAAGACCGGACACCCGGCTCTGCCCTGGTGACATTGGGTGACAGCACATGGAGAATCTCTGCTCGCCTTCCCCAGACCAGACCCGGCTCTTTGCCTCTCTCGACTGAGATCCTGCCTCTGGGAGGACTGGGAGATCTGCCCACCCCGCCTGGGTTGCCTGCATTGCCGGGCAGATGGCTTCACATTTGTCATCTGCGTTTGCTTAAAAATGCAACCAGATGGGGAAGTGGCTCTCTCTGGAGCTCTCCCTGCTCCTAGCAGCCAGGAACAGCAGTGATGCTGGGAGGCTGACCAGGGAATAACGCAGCTCCCACCCGAGAAGAGAGCTGGGGACCTGCCAGCAGCATGTCCGTGCTCGGTCCCAGCCAGCAGCCGTGGTGCCCAGTGGCACAGGGATCAACGGAGCCATGCAGCTGTCTGGCTGCCATCTCTGCGGCTCGGGGCCCCTCCATGGGCAGCAGGGGCAAGGCGAGGAACGTGGTACTCTGTCCCGGCACCTCTCCAGCCCAGCCAAGGAGGGCTGCGTGGGGGGGCACGGGCTGTGCTGCGGATGACACCCAGCAGCGCCGTTTCAGGGTGGGATGTGACTTCCTTTGGCAGGTTTTGGGGCTGGGGTTGCCGGTGAGCAACTATGAGTCAGAACAGGAGCAGCTGCCACATCAGAAGCCCTCACTCGGTCAGGAAAACACGTCTCCTCCTACGTGAGCCCCTGCAGAAACCACCCGCTCCAGTGCGCTGCCATCGCCCCATGGCAAGCGGGGTGCAGCCCACCTGCCAATGCGAAGCACCCGGCTGGGGGCCAGGTCCTGCTCGTGCCGTGGCCACTCTGTTTCCTCCCATCTCTGGCTCAGGCCATGAAAACATGGGGCCAGCAACGAGGAGTGCCATCCTGGAGAGGTGATGCTGCCGGGCAGGACCCCGGGGGATCGGGACACCGCCGAGTCCCCTTGCCATGGGCACCTGGGACAGTGCCGTGGCCCCCGATGCCCCAGGGAGCAGCCTGGGGTCAGAGAGTGGAAAAACCCACCTCAGCAGAGCTGAAGTTGCATCGAGGTGACCTGAGGGCACCCACCCGAGTGCAACCAGCTGCCAGATGAGGAAATTCCCTCGACAAGTCCCAGACGAGCCGCCTCTGGGCTCATTCACATTTTCCTCTTCTGCTTTCGGTGCTTTTCCCCCAGGACGCCCCCCCCCGCTGCTCACAGCCGGGTTCCGTGGTCCCCGAGGGGGCTGCCCCGGTCCCCGGCTGCAAGGACTGCAGGTCTCTGCTCTCTGCCTCACTGCTGATTTTAGCAGTTTGCACCCCCAGAAGACGCCGTTTCCCACAGACGATTTGCAGCCGAACACCCAGACGAGGCCGTGCTCGCCCATCAGCAGCACAGCGGGGTGCGTGTCACTACTTTCATTAAAACCCTATTTTTCACGAGAAATTTTCAGGTCTGGGATCATTCTGAGTTTTCCCTGTTGAGGGAAACGCACAGATTTTCACAGGCAAGCGGCTCGGTCGAGGCGACGTGGCAGCACGCTGCCAAAGCACGACTCGCCGAGGAGCTGACATTTCACAGCAACATTTGGCGAATGATTAATTCAGATTATCGCCCGGTGGAGCTGGGCCTCGCCAAACCGCTGATTTATGCCGGGCTCAGTCATTCTGAGCGCAGCAGAAAGGCCTCTGAAACGCGGAGGATTCAGGGGGCAAAACACCGCCCGCCGGGGCGGTCTCGCGGGCGGGAGCCGAGGGGGGGCAGGGCTGTGCGCCCCCATCTCCCCCCAGATTCCCGGGTTTGCTG